GTGGGGCACCACCAAGGGGGACGGTGGACCAAGGTGGTGTGTCCGGGGGATCAGCCGTCAACAAATCTATTTCAACACCTGCCGCTGAAATACTGCGGCGAAAGCAAATCTTCTTTTGATGAACTGAGCAAAATTATTCAGGTGTGGAAATGCAATACATGTACTTGTATCATAGTTTGGGGACCTTTCTGTTGAAAATGTGTCAGAGTTAAATAATATACGTATACATGCACAGTGCGTTAACTGGAGTGCAGGTATTAGTTATCGCACTCCAGAGCATGCCCTTTGATTGGAAAGGGAAAGCGATAGAAATATCATATTCAGAGGCTTGTTCATGATTACTTTTTTCTGGGGTTTCATATTGTGACAACAGGGAACGTGTTTTTATGTTTGACTCTGATACAAAAGAGAAAGAACATCAAAACAAACGGCAATCTGATTAATAATCAGGGCAACCCCCCTCGTACAAATCAGATAGCCTCGTGTTTGGATGCCTTTTCTATTACATATATATCTGCTTGTAGTGTTGATACTGCATCAACTGTTAATCATAAGATAACTTTGATACTTTATCAAATATATCAGCCCCTTGACAAAGGTCATCTAGCTAATAAAATGATAAATGAACTATTTACATGTACTTTCAAATCCAGACCTTTTTTTGTCATGAAGATGAATTAGTTAGACCTGTATATGGTTTTAGATTATGGATTCCTAGAGAAACCCTCACATTTCATGAAACCATCAGGTAACTTTGTAAATGTAAGAGGTATAATGTAAGTGAGAAGTTTTGAATGAGTTAATGAGCAAAGGGTCATCAGTAAACATAATCTACCTATTTAACTGAAGTAAGTTGCCATTAAGTGATAGTGACATACATGTACTTTGAATTTAACAGGTTATACATGTATGAAATGAAAACATACTTTTTTTGTGGCTTTGTAAAAGGCTTATTTCTTTATCCATCTATTAAAGTTATATCCAAAGGTGTTTTTTTTTCAAAAATTTAACAGCAAAACAAATGGGTGGTGATGTAAAGGCTTATTTCTTAAGTCATCTTTTTAAAAAAAATTCAAAGATTAATTTTTTTAAACGGCAGAACTGTTTTTTGATTGACCTTAAGAAAACTTGATGACTTTTATATTACAGAAAGTGCTTGCGTGTAGGAGAGAACTGGTGGACTATGATCGCCAACAGAGACAGGCTGTATCTACCAGTAGTTCACCTGTCACTAGTCCAAGAGATGCTCCAGTACTCAAACAACCGGTCAAGAAACCGGAAAAGATCAGGTTTGTGATAAATGATTGTTTCCTTCGGCCCTTTTTAATGTTTACTTATTTAGATAAACTTGCTCCTTACATCCATTGGTTGCTTTCATTACTTTTAATGGTTGAAGTCCTGTTGCTGAAATTCTAGTGTAGAAGTAACTGTTAAAGGAGGGTAACTAAGGCCCAAAAAGCTTAAAAAACATAAAATTTGAAATTCTTGCATAATTCAACTGGGGAATTAAAAAATGCAAAACATGCAAAAGATAATTCTGAAATGTAATCAGAGTTAAAATGAAAATCAAACTTTTCAGAACTTTCGTGGTTCTTCTCTTGTGTCTGAAGACACCTGAGGTCTTCAACCATCAGTTTTCTTGGCCATTTGCAAACTTGATGACCATTTCAGTGTTTGTATGACTTAAAACTCAACAGAAAATAAAGAAAATGAAGATATACATTTAATTCTTTTTTACAGTGGCAAGCCAAGCAATTGTTTCGGATGTGCCAGTGCAGCTGTGGAGCACTGTATTACACTTCTACGAGCCCTTGTTACCAACACCAACTTGAGGCATATACTCTGTAGTCAGGTACACTCTCTTGCTGTTACTATAAATAGTATAAAAATGGATGTGCAAAATGTAGAAACATGATGTTTTAACTTTGAGATATTTAAATTTATTATATACATGTATACACTTTGATATAAATAAATGCAGGTATCAGGTATCACATGCACACATTTTACCCAACAGCTAGTTTACAGATTGTGGTTGGTTCTACTCAAATACTTACCGGTGCTTTAAATAATGCACACAGGGGCACCTGATGTCTTCTTTCTCCAGTAAAGCTGAAAAGTCACAATATGACCTCTTCTGTGTTGGTGCCTCCTAAACCACCACCCCCCCCCCCCCCCCCCCCTCCCCCTCCCCCCCCCCCCCAAAAAAAAAAAACTGTCCCAAAAAGAAGTAAAATCTATATTTGTGTATGAATGTGGTTAAGAAGGACTTAATACTATTTTGTCATAGTTGATTATATAGCTTAAATAGCTCTACTGAAGTCGAAAAGCAAATAAACCTAAAATTTGAAAGGCTTCCATTTATCAACTGGGAACAAACAAATGAAAAAGCTTTGCCACCAGTACACCAGGCCAGTCTGAATATATAAGCAGACTGGCCAGGCTCTATACTGTTGGTAGTTCAGTTTTTATTACTTTGATATTAAAACCCCTTTGAAAGGACAGTTTTGGAAACGGAAGATTGACTCCCAAAAACGTCCTTAAGAAATGAACTGTTTATATTATAGAAAATGTTCATTTATTCATGGAGACAATTCCTAATTACAGGGTATGATACAAGAGTTAATAGACTTTAACCTTCGCCGAGGCACGTTACATGTGAGGTCAGAGGTCAGATCCCTGCTGTGCCTTCTCACCAAGGACAACCGGCGCGGTACTGAGGAGATGAACAATATTATAATGACCCGTATATCAGCGGCAGTGAAAGGACATCTGTCGAACCCAGATCTTGTAAGTAAAAAAAATTATTTTATTTCCTGTAATGAAACCTTTCTATTAGTAAGTAGTAACTTTTCTTTTGACAAATCTGGTTATATGAGACTTGCTTGTGAGGGATCACCACTTTTTCCATATTTTTATAACTTTGATGAGGAGAATAGATTTTTTGATAATTTAGATTTAGCTGATACATACCAAAGGTATATGTCTATGATATGCAAGAATTTTTTTTTCAAGAAAAACAAATTTTGATGATTTTGGGACATTTTGTTTTTTCTTCACCATACAAAACCAACATGTATACTTTGTGATAAAAGAAATTGGACCAAATTGAATCAGAAATACTTTTTGCTTATATCAACAAATATATATTTGTCTTGCTGTGTACTTTAAGTGGAAAATGATATACCTATATGGTAGGTATTTTGCAGGTTAATTGCTTTTGTAAAAAAAAATAAGAAAAGAAAATCTGTTAATCAAAAGATCTGTATGTGTTTGTAATATGTTATGTTGTAGTTAAACAACGTTTTGAATATTTCAGGGATCATCAGTGAGACATGAGATACTTCTACTGGCAAACTCCCTGAAACAAGAAGACACCTGCTGGGAGTTTAGGGTCAGATGTGGTAAGTTGTTATACCCCCACCACAAAATGTGGGGGGGGGGGCTATAATGGATTCGCTTTGTCGCGTCGGTCGGTCGGTCCGTCCGTCTCCATTTTCGTGTCCGCTCTATAACTCCTATACCACTTGAAGGATTTTCTTCAAACTTGGCTCCAATGTTCACCTCAGCAAGGGGATGTGCAGAACCCATGTTGCCCATGTGTCAGCTCAAGGTCAAGGTCACAATTGAAGGTCAAATATTGTTACGGTACGGTCCAGCTATATGGTACCAGGCCCCTTTAATCCTCTTAAAAATGTGGTAACGTGCTCAAGACTTGGTGACCAATGATCGTACTGGACTGTAGAGAACGATATTGTATTTACGAACAATGAAACGATCACAAATATAACAATGTTCTATATAAAATAGAAATTGTTAGGGTTAGAGGGACTGATGATACTTGTTTCAGATGACTGTCAAAGTCTATATAGATCTATTTGCTGAAATATGCTATTACGACATCTGTCAATAGTGGGCTACTCTGTATGACTCTGTATGGCTAGGACACTGTACTCCACAGTACTTGATAACACTTCCTTACTTCTGGAGGTACGCCAGTTCAAGATTAAAATTTAGTCACAAAGAAGAAAGACTGTTCACAGTTTACTAATTTTAATTAGTGTTAAACTGTTAATAAATTAAATTGTCAAATATTCAAATAACAGTATTGTAAATAACATCGACACATGTATATAATTCAGTCTTAAATATCCGATAGCTATGTCTTACATAGACTTCACCTAAATTATTACCGCGACTGCCGTTTAATTTCTATTCAAAAATATGACAACGTAAATATAAAGTTTGGTCGAGTCAGTGACCGTATTAATGTGAAACAAAAATGATAAAGTTCTTATCAATTATTCTTAGACAATAATTGATTAAATGTAAAATAATAATCTAAAGACTACGTTTTATTTTGCCTTAAAAATAAGTAAAATTTGCCGTTCAGAAGAACACGACAATAATGTAGACTAACCGAAAGTTAAATGAAAACTGACTGAAGTTGATCGTTTTCTGGCCTATTTATACCAAATCTGAGAAAACGAACATAAGAAGGTTCGAAAAATGTTCAACTGTACGTTTTGGTCGGTTGACAATGTTCGACGTTCGAAAACTGATCATTTGACGTTCGGAAACGATCAATTTCATACACAAAGAACGCTGTCAACCAACCGAACGTCCGAACATCAACAATTCTTAGCTAAAGTTCTATGAAACTTTACATAAAAATACGATAAATTGATACATATAATATTAATAAAAATGACTAGTACCATGGATTGACTATAAGTTTGTTGTTTTTGATGAAACATAACTTTGAAACTGTTTGTTTACTGAGTTTAGGCAGCAATTGCTATTGACAACGGAAGTCACACAACCCATAATGCATCAGCGAACAACAACAACACCTGTCAAAGTTTATCGAGTAAAATTACGATAAATGCTACTTTCTAGCTAAATGTACGCTGATTATAAGAAAATATGTAAACAATTAATGAAATAAATCATTACTCTTTATAATTCTGACATTATTTATAGTTGTCAGTCTCTCAAATTAACAAATGAAGCGTTTATCGGTACATGTAAAATGTAAACAATGCCGATAATGGCATACGACCTGAGTAAACTAGTGGGATTATATCATTACCCCCCTCTTAGTAAGGCAAAGCTCCTGCTGCCTTCTTACAATAACAAAAATAATGAAGTTTATGCACCTTTAACATATTCATCACAAAAATCGACCATTGACCTTTAAGACTAATAATGTAGGGAAGCTCCCTTTAAAGTAAAAGTACTATCTTAAGCATATGAAACACAGATAATGAAAATTATGCATCTTATGTATAGGCACATTTAAACAGTTTATGCACATTTCACTTTCATTGATTAATAACAGTCTTAAATAGTCATTCAAATGTTATACACAGTGTTCATCAATAATAATAATAATGATTAAGTAATATAAATAGCACCAAGTTCAATGTCAATGTCTATAAAGTCCATGTTCAATGTTTACACTTCTTCACATTTTTATATTTCAATATGTTTCACTTTTAAATGTACAGTCTATATGTGTTCCAGATATTCATAATAATTCGATTCACTAGTTCACTGTTTATGTAGTAGATATTCATGTTATAGTAATTAACACAGTAGTAATTAACACTGTTTACTTAAATGTTTGTCACTATTTCGCGAAATAAAATATCACATATAATGTCATATTGTTTGTTGTTGATTTAATATATATGTGTATGTTTTATGCTCCGCGGCTTAACACTGTCAAAACATATGTGAATAAAACGTTAGTCACACTAAAAAAATAAAGTGGCACAATGTCACATTGTTAGCTTCATGTTAATTGAGTTTAAGTCCCATGTTGGAAGAGTGGCAACAGTTCATTCGTTTACTTTATTCAAAATTATTATGTTCATATTTTCTTTACTACGCTTTTTAATGGCTTATTTTCCTTTCCTTTGTTAGTAGTTCTTTCCATAAGAGCTACATCATATAATACAAACACAATCATATAATAGACAGTATGTCGTGTCCGCTCTGTAGGTCCTACAATAATTGAAAGATTTTCTTCAAACTTGGCTAAAATGTTCACCTCAACAAGGGGATGTGCAGAACTCATGTTACCCATGTGTCATTTTAAGGTCAAGGTCACAATTGAAGGTCAAATATCAAACAATCAAATATTACACAATATGTTGTGTCCGCTCTGTAAGTCCTACACTAATTGAAAGATTTTCTTCAAACTTGGCTCAAATGTTCATTTCAACAATGGGATGTGCAGAACCCATGTTGCCCATGTGTCAGCTCAAGGTCAAGGTCACAATTGAAGGTCAAATATCAAAAAATCAAATATTACACAGTATGTCGTGTCCGCTCTGTAAGTCCTACACTTATTGAAAGATTTTCTTCAAACTTGGCTCAAATGTTCACCTCAACAAGGTTATGTGCAGAACCCATGTCACTCTTTTGCCGGCTTAAGGTCAAGGTCACACTTGAAGGTAAAAAATTGACTTAGAAAATGTTCTTTAATTTTAACATATATCTGCATATTTCTGAATCTAGGAAAGGTATTTGCTTGAAACTTAAAATATAAATGAAGTGTCACAATTAAGATATGCTGGTCAAGTTTCATAACTCTGTATTGCATTTTAACAAAGTTATGCCCCTTTTTAATCTTCAAATTTACATACAATCACATATTAGACAATATGTTGTGTCCGCTCTATAAATCCTATGCTAATGGAAGAATTTTCTTCAAACTTTTCTCAAATGTTCACCTAAACAAGGTTATGTGCAGAATCCATGTCACCTTTGTGCAGGCTAAAGGTCAAGGTCAGACTTGAAGGTCAAAAATTGACTTGGAAAATGTTCTTAGATTAAAACATGTTCTTTAATATTCCGGAAACTAGCATAGGTATTTGCTTGAAACTTGAAAGATATAATTATGAGGTGTCACAATTACGATATGCAGGTCAAGTTTCATAACTCTGTATTGGATTTTGACAAAGTTATGCCCCTTTTTAAGTCTTTAAATTTACATACAATCAATACTAGACAATATGTTGTGTCCGCTCTATAAATTCTATACTAATGGAAGGATTTTCTTCAAACTTTACTCAAATGTTCACTCCGATTGGGCGATGTGCAGAACCCATCTTACCCTTGTGCCAGCTGAAGGTCAAGGCCACACTTGAAGGTCAAAAATTGACTTATAAAAAGTTTAGTATATTGGGAAAATGAAAGGTTATTTGTAACTGTTTCGAACATGATTTGATAATAGATATTTTTACTATTACCTGTACAATTAGTCTTTTTTTCACCAGAGATAATTTCTTTTTATGTATTTGTGTCACTTAAGTTATTCCCTTAACCACCTTTCCAAGTTGTCTTCTGTCAAGGACATTGGTGGGGGTATGAATCGCATTCAGCGATAGTTCTAGTTTAAATTGATGTTGTGAAATGTGGGGACATTTCAGATCTTAAATCCATACACTATAGATGTTTGAGCTAACAAGCTTAAATTTTAAAGATGGAAAAGAAATTTGTTTAAAAGAATTTTAGCTCTTCAAGTTTGTGGAAATTAAAGTGTACAAACATGTACATGCCTATCTCATTGCATACTTATATTTGTTTTCCATAGTCTTGGTTACTTATCCACTTGGGTAAACACCTTTATTATTAATTCCATTTACACATGACTGAACTTAAAGACATTTTCTACAGTTTTATGAAAAAATAATCCGTTTCATAGAATTTTCTAAATTTTTTGTATGATGAGTAAAATTTAATGACGAATTTAAAAATTAAAAGAAAAATATATGTTGACGTGTTGGATTTCTTGTAAAATGGCAGTTTCCATGGTAACCGTATATCTAAAAACTGTCAAAATAGCCTTACTGTGTTATAACGAATAGAAAATGTATAAGATAGCTTAAAACACACAACGAGCATTGTTTTATGCAATGATAATCTTATCTAATGATTCTGTATGAAACAAATGATAATCTGAACATATTTCTTTAAAAAATGAGTTCTCCGTGTTCCTCAACCAAACAAAAAATGAGAAAAAAAAAACATGAATTCTGAGAATAATTAGAGATATTGAAAAAAGTGTTTCATAGGATTTTCTAATTTTTTTGTATGTTGTGTAAAATTCAATGACAAATTCAAAAAGAAAAAGAAAAATATATGTTGGCATGTTGGATTTTTTGAAAAATGGCAGTTTCCATGGTAACCGTATATCTCAAAATTGCCAAAATAGCCAAACTGTGTTATAATAATGTATAAAATAGCTTATTACACTCACAATAAACATAATTTTATACAAAGCTTGCTTTATCTTAGGGTTCTGTATAAAACAAACGATAATTGGAACATATTTCTTTAAAAAATAAGTTTTCATGCTTTTTAACGAAACAAAAAATGAGAAAAATAAACATGAATTCTGTAAAAAATTAAAGCTATCAAGAAATGTCTTTCATAGAATTTTCTACATTATAGATATATCAAGTAACATTTGATGGTGGATTCAAAAATAGAAATAAAATATATATGTTGACGTGTTAGTTTTTTGTATACGGGCAGTTTCCATGGTTACCGAATATGCCAACTGTCAAAACTACCACGCTTTCTTAAGAAATATCAGTGTTATACTAAATGTATTGTCAAATATACAACAAAAACATGTTGTAATAAAAATTTCTTTTTCTTTTGATGTTATATTTAGTAAATGATACTGAATATCTTTTTAAAACATATCTAGGGCCATATTATTTTTTTCACTCGACTAACATACCCGAACAGTAAGCAAATATTCAGAAATTTACAAAGAAAATAATGAAATTCGGAACATTTCTTAGATATTAATTTTGTTTTTTTATTCAACACTTTTAAAATATATCATTTTAAACTTCTTTGCCCAGTTGTCTGCCAGTAATCAAGTCGCGACGCACGTTCGTCACTATACCACAAGTGGGTGGGGTAACGCGCGCAGAATTATCATCAATGCGGTCGTACTTATGCTTGGAGAAATCCTTTATGTGATGTTGTCTAAACGACCTCTTATTCTTTTGAACCAATCTCCTTTTGAACATTTAGAAATATCTATCCTGTATTATTTACTCTTTATTTTCTTATAGCCGAAATTTAAACACTTATCTGAATACTATTCAACTTGACCCTCATTTGAAGAGTAATTATCCGTGATTATCTTTCTTGGAAGTGCATAACGATGCGCACAGAAAACTACCGAAAACGTCTTTAAATGTACAGTTAACAAATACCTGTGTATGACAGCCAATTTGACAGTCACAAAGCTGTCTGTCTTACAAAGGTTTCACTGTACTCTCTGAATTGATTATGTAATTTGGTAAATTTGGCAAAGTCATAATACTGCCAATCTTATTTAAGGATACTCTGTACTAGACAATCAAGAAATGTGCTAAGTTCACAAAAGCCAAAAGCTGCCAGTCTTATGCAAGGTTTGACTGTACTCTCGATGTGATTATGAACATAAATGACTAATATATTTAATAAAATTTACACGATTGTTTCACTGTGTTTCAGTAATGCGACTATTCCTGATGGGAATGCAGCTGGAGCAGCCAGTCATCATGGAGAGTGTTACATTACCGTGTCTGAGGATATTACAACATTTGATACGACCTGACAAGTCACAGATAAACAAGGTAAGTGGAGTATTATAGTCCTAGTGTGCTCCCTTTCTTTTTCTTTGTATAGTGCTTTTTACATATACATGTACTTTTTAATCTGGTCAGAGTGCGTCTGAAATATTTTGAACTAGATATAACGCTATGCTAGCTCCTTAACTAGTTTTTGGTTTCGAATCGTGGTTTGTGAACTTGAGTCTTGATAATATTAAGTGGCTATTGTTCTAGGTTACCTAAAAAATGTTGCTACGCTGTTGCCTTCTGTGTGTAATTGCACTCTTTGTAATAAAAGAGTTAACACTTAGAACGAAAAGAGATAAGCAACTGCCACCTTTATAGAGCCAGACCAGCTTGCACATCCGTACATTCTGACCAGGCTCTCTACTGTTGGTAGCTTTATTTTTAAGATATTTCAGATAACAAAATCCCTTAAACATTGAATGGACTGTTCCAAATTCAAAGCAGGGCAAATCCATTACACATATTCAGCAGTTAAGGGTAATAGGTATTTTAAATAATTTTGATGTCTATTTCAGGAGGGTGTACAGGAGGAGCCACCTGTCAGTTCAGTGATGGCCCTGCCCCCTGATTTGCATGTGAATGGAGCTGAATGGCTGAGCGGTAATCAGAAATTCTCGTACCAGAACTGGAGAAGATATCTGCCTGTACAACAAGGTAAATTAAATCCTAACTGGAGCTCAATGGTTTCAAGGCATTTGAGGGAAAATGGAAAGCTGAGATGAGAGATTGAGATTGGCCTTCTTGTCAGTTATTTTTCAGAATTGAATTTCTTGGGACCAAGATTTTCTTTTCTTTTTAACAATTTGGAAAAAACCATTTAAGTTCTATTTTAATATGCATGTTTATAGACCTACCATACATGTATATAGATTTGGAGTATTTCATGACAGGCTTTTATCTCATCAATTTTAAGATTATTTCGTGAAATCAAAATTAAAGTAAATAAATTTTTAAAAAAAGTTTATCTTTCATTCAAGGGAAAGGAATGTGATGATAGAAAATAATTTGAAGTGTCTGCCTCAATTAAGAAATGCATAATATTAGTCCTATTAAGGCTAAAACCATATATTTATTAAATGACACTGTCACACCATTACTGAGTTGGTCCAGAAGGCAGGAGGGAAAATGATTTTAATAGGCTTATAGCTTTCCTCTTGTTTCTTCTGAGATGAATAAACTTTGAATAAGTTTTTTATAAATTTGCTTTCTTTATTCAGTCACGCAGCAGACGACACCAACTGTAGAAAAGAAAGAGGAATTAACAGAGAAAGTAGATGAAAAAGTTACTGTCGAGAAGTCCGAGGTTCGTGCTCATTACCTTGAAGAGAAATATGCCACTAGGTGGCGCCACAAGATGTGGAAGGTTCCTGGCATGCCGCTGAAGTTGACACAGACAACATGGCTCCAGCAGGCTATGTTCTCGCCGTCGTCACAGTCGGCAAGGCAGACGGCCACAAGGGTCATTGAGTACATAGCTCAAGTTCCATCAAGAAAGAAGGAAATAGTTGACATGCTTACTGGGTAAATTACCACCCCTGTCTTTTATCAAGTTTTAAGAACAACTGTAAACTTTTCAGGTTTCTTACACTTTGTTCAGAACCAGATCGACTGGAATGTCTGTAAATAAATTCAAGACTTAAATAGTGTGGATCGCTCAGTTTTACCTGAAGTTGAATTAGTAGCTCCAGGTTTTTAAATTCAAATTGGACTTTTCCAAATTTGAAAACCATCCAAGTCATGTATATAAGTCCAGCAGGAGAGGGATAAATTTGTTAATAAGAATTAACAGGGAAAGGCTTTGATACTTAATGATAATAGTAAAATTAATATCATTATGAATGTCTGAAGTAAGCTATGAAGGTTTAGCATCTATTGTTTGGAAAGAAACAAAGTTAGCCAAATTTTATCAAAATTACTATACATAGAGTGTCAAAATTTACTCATTTATTTCTTCATGCTGTTTAACCTTATAAACTTTTTTGCAGATGTTTAGATCAGGTTGGCAAGGCAGGGGAGTGTGCGCAGGAATTCCTGGCTCTTTATGGTAGAGTAATACAGCCTACCCATTGGAAACATTATCTTGCCATCAAAGGGGTGTTACTGAAATTGGGAGATCTTATTACCAAGGTAAGTAGTGTATTCATAGTCATATATGATCATATTGAATTTATTCAAGACACCAAATACTGGTTATTTCAAGGGTAGAGGTGGTTCTACACATATGCTCGGGGCGTCTGTGGCCGAGTGGTTAAGGTCTTGACTTCAAACCACTTGCCCCTCATCGCTGTGGGTTCAAATCCCAACAGGGACTTTGGATTCTTTCACCTGAGGAAGCTATACAGCTAGCTTACGGAACATCGGTGGTTCTACTCAGGTGCCCGTTCGTGCCTGAAATAATGCATGGAAGGGCACCTGAGGTCTTCCTCCACCAGTAAAGCTGGAACGTCGCGATATGACCTATACTGTGTCGATGTGACGTAAAACCCAAAACAAACAAACAAACACATATGCTCCTTTGTACCTTAAATAATGTTCAAAAAGACATACAAGATCTTCTCCAACAGAGAAACTGGGAAGTTGCCTAATGACCTTACAGTGACGGTGTGACTTGATATCTAGCAAAACAAAACAAAAGACTTGAAAATTGATTAATATACATACAAGTTATAAGGATTTGTTTTACAGTCAAGCATAAAATTAATTGGTTTACACTAAAATTAATGATATTAACTGAGATGACATTGTTTATTTGTAGGAGGTAGAAAAACTTCAATACCTAGAGGAGACAACATTAAGTTCTGATCTTGCCCAAGGTTTTGCTCTAAAATCACTTACAGGTATGTCATCAATGATTTAAACTTACAATTTAAAAAGCTGAATTTGTTTACATCCTCAATTAACTTTTTGAGCTGCTATACCAGTAGTTATAATAATTGCAAAGTATTCATCTGGCACATTACTAAGTATTAGAGGAATCTTCAATACAAGATAGATGGGGCATCCATGGCCTAGGTGTTAAGGTCTTTGACTTCAAACCACTTGCCTCTCATTGCTGTAGGTTTGAGCCAGGTCAGCTTCTTCGATTTCTATCATGTGAGAAAGCTATCCAGCTAGCTTACAGACTGTCATTGGTTCTACTCAGGTGCCAGTTTATACCTGAAATAATGCAAAAAGGGGCATCTGAGTTTTTCTATCATCAGTAAAGATGGAAAGTTGCCATATTACCTATACTGTGTTGGTGTGATGTAAAATCCAACCAAGTTAAAAAAAAACAAACAAAGATAGAAGATAGATGTTTATTTTTCATTTCATGTACACGGCGAAATCAGTGTTACCAATATTCTGGCTTTCTGCAAGATCATTATTTTGAACTGTATAAATTTGTCCTTTTGACATTGGTACCTGCAAGCACAAAGGATATTTAGGGAGGAAAAGGTACATTACTCTTACTTTACTATTTCTTTATCTTTGCAGAGTTACTGTCTCTGTTTGTTCAACAGAAGGAGATAAAGCAACATTACAAGAACAGACTGGTTGGTTATGTACTGAATGGTTACCTCTCACTGAAGAAACTTCTAGTACAGAGAACCAAACTGATAGACGAGACACAAGATAAACTTCTAGAGCTGCTAGAGGATCTCACTACAGGTAAAATAATTGTGTATATCAGTAAGACAGTGACGGCATGACTGAGTGGTTAACGCATCAGACTAGTAATCTTAAGGATTGCTGACCTGTGTGGGTTCAAACCCCATCTTCTGCAAGCTGTCTTGTTTCCACAAGCAAGAACCTTAACACTCATTGTTTAGTACTGGTTGGTCTCAGGAACAGATTTGAGAGTGTTTCAGTAAGCTCATAGCTTCCAACATAATCTAACTAAGATAAATTTGTATCACTTAATAACTAAGCCAGGAATGTGAATAATTCATTTCTTGCAATTTGATTTACTGTAAAATATATTGGTCCATTTACTTACTGTTTTGAAAAATGTTACACTAGGAATGTAATCACACTAATCACAAGCCATGAAAGTTGCTTGAATGGCATTCTAAGGTGGCTGTTTAATAAGATGCACAAAGGTGGCTGCTTCCTACTACATACTGCAGCTCTTAGATGAATAAATAAAGCCACCTTTTAACATATAGTCTCACTTAAATTGTTTAAAAGATGGTTTTTTATGACAAGTAACAAGTATACAAAACCAAGTAAATAATTTTGTACCAAACCAGTAGAGTGTAAGTTTCAGCAAGGATCAAAAATTGATAAATTGTTTTTCAGTGAGTTTATGTGAAGTTCGATATTATGTTTATACATGTATATTTGTGTATATTTTCTAGGTACGGAGTCAGAAACAAAAGAGTTCATGCAAGTGTGTGTACAGACAATACAGAAATATCCACTAGATGATAAAGTATCCCCTGTCTTCATATTTGAGAGACTGTGTAGCATAATATTTCCAGTAAGTACTTATTTTAATGATGATAAAGTGAAATGTTGGAGCCAGTCTCAATTTACATTTAAAAAATGGTTTGCTATTGTTCTAATTCAAATTTGATGATGGGCAATTGGAGATTTTTTTTTATTTGACCCTTAAATCTTGGAGATAAAAGGTAACTAGCCTTTGCCACCAAAGAACAAAATTCTTAAAGGGCTCAACCATCTTTCAGTCCGGACATCATTTTTAGGGAAAATTTCAGAATATGCATTGACTGAAATAATGTACAGTGCAGACCTTATTCAGACGGCACAGATGCGTCAGCTGATTTTGGTCTGCACTGGTTGCATGGGTAGAACATGTTCCTGCCAGAAGGCTTAGTGCTAAACAATCTATTTGTATTACAGGAAGAGAACGATGTAGGTGATTTCTATATGATCTTGGAGAAAGACCCGCAACAAGAAGACTTCCTGCAGGGGAGAATGCTGGGTAATCCTTACAGTTCTAGTGAGGCGGGGCTCGGCCCACTGATGAGGGATGTGAAAAATAAGATATGTCAAGGTTTGTTCACCGTACATTGATATACTGTGTCATCTGTAATACATTTGAGCCGTGTCATGTCATAACCAACATAGTGCGTTTGTGACCAGAATGGATCCAGACCAGCCTGCGCATCCGCGCAGTCTGATCAGGATCCATGCTGTTCGCTTACAAACCCTATAGCTAGTAGAGAAACTGATATCGAACAGCATGGATTCTGATCAGACTGTGCGGATGCGCAGGCTGGTCTGGATCCATGCTGGTCGCAAACGCATTATGTTGGTTTTGTCATGACACGGCTCATTTCATTTATATGTCCACTTGGATTTTAAAAACAAATTCTGGATCTGTTGCAGGTTAACATAATTGTCAGTTTTATAATTAATTGAAATGATTTAGTGAAACAACATAACTTTATGGTGATAATTAAGTGAAACAACTTCACTTTATGGTGATAATTAAGTGAATCAACTTCACTTTCTGGTGATAATCAACTGAAATTACATAACTTTCGGGTGAAACAACAACAAGTAAATGAGGATAATTTAGTGAAACTACACAACTTTTATGTTACAATTGAGTGAAACAAGATAAATTTAATGACATTTAGATAAAAGAAATGGATTTACAAAACAGTTTTATAATGACATTAAGTAAAACAAGAATTCTATGATGATAATTATGTGAATCAATGGCTACTAAACACTTGTGAACTACAGAGTAATTTCAATTTTTACTATCAAACCTGTTTAAATGTGTCTTTATGAACCATTATTTTTAAAAGTGGTTTGTCTTAAGAGGTTGTTTTAATGTATAGTTGAGGTGTAATATGTAAAGTTTTAACTTGTGCAAGTGTTAGTGATTGCTTTATATTTTCAGACTGTGAGTTGGTGGCCCTATTAGAGGATGACACTGGGATGGAGGTAAGGAGATATAAAAGAAACTGTAGTTTTATTTCCGCATAGATGAATATTTACAATTTTCAGTTAACATTTGGGAGTGTCCGTGGCTGAGTGGTTAAGGTCATTGACTTTAAACCACTTGCCCATCACCGCTGTGGATGGACTTCCTCCACCAGTATAGCTGGAAAGTCGCAATATGACCTTTATTGTGTCATTGCGACATATACCCAACCAAAAAAAGTTTAAATTTATTTTTCATGCCTCCACAAAGTGGGAGCATAATTATAGTGTTGCCCTTGTCCGTCGGTCCGTCCCGAAATCTTGTGAACGCAACTCCTCTTAAACCAGATAGCAGATTTTGCTTAAACTTACAGGGATGAACAACCTAAATGTGTAGATGGTAGTAAAGGAAGGAATTTTCGCTGCGACCAAATTTAACAGAATTATGGCCCTTTGTTGATTTTTTCACTATATTCTATGTAGAAATCTTGTGAACGCAGCTCCTCTTAAACCTGATGGCAGATTTTGGTTAAACTTCCAGGGATGAACAACCTAAATGTGTAGATGGTAGTAAAGGAAGGAATTTTCGCTGCGACCAAATTTAACAGAATTATGGCCCTTTGTTGATTTTTTCACTATATTCTATGTAGAAATCTTGTGAACGCAGCTCCTCTTAAACCTGATGGCATATTTTGGTTAAACTTCCAGAGATGAAGAACCTTAATGTGTAGATGGTAGTAAAGGAAGAAATTTTCGCTGCGACCAAATTTAACAGAATTATGGCCCTTTGTTGATTTTTTCACTATATTCTATGTAGAAATTTTGTGAACCCAACTCCTCTTAAACCGGATGGCAGATTTTGCATAAACTTCCAGGGATTAACAACCTAAATGTGTAGATGGTAGTAAAGGAAGGAATTTTCGCTCTGACCAAATTTAACAGAATTATGGCCCTTTGTTGATTTTTAGTTTTCAACTTGTGGCACATGTAGTCCAAAAAAAATTTGACCTAGAGTCATAAGATTGACAGAACAGTGGCGTGATGGGGCATCCGTGTCTTATGGACACATTTCTAGTTTATCCTTAAAAACTATCATAAATATATTTTTTTCATTTCAATAATTAGTGTTTGTTGTTTATAACTAATGGGTATTCGTGAGTATGAATAAAACTAAAGATTAAGTTTTTTTAAATAAAATTTTGTTAAACTTTTACTGCTAAATCTATGACTCAAAGTACCATTGGTCTGTTCCTTGGTAAAGACATTGTAAAATTATGCCTAAATATTAGCATATTTTTTCAGTTGTTGGTGAATAAGAAGATAATCAGCCTAGACCTACCTGTAAAAGATGTCTACAAGAAAATATGGGCACCAGAACATGGAGAGGTAATTGAAACAGCTTGTTTGTCTTTGATGTTAGATAGAGTAGATATTCACATTATTTCTTAAGACTGGAACATGCTCATCTTTGCAGTCACACTTCTGTTAAGTTTTTGCTTGCAAGTTGGTATCTCCAAAACTATGGAAGGGAATGGATTGAAACTTCAAACTTCACACACTTGTTTTCACACTGTAAATATCTCTTATGATGGGCTTAGGTCTCACAACTGAATCGCAATTTTACAGAGTTATGGCCCTTTTCTTACTGAACAGTCAAGCACATTGGCTTATGGACAGCTCCTTTTCTAGTCAGTGTTCTGTAAAGTACAATAAAATAACCATGCAAACATTAATGTGTGTTACTTCAGGGTGAGCCAATGCAGATTATCTACCGTATGCGAGGATTGTTAGGCGACGCAACAGAAGACATGGTTAACTCCCTTGAATCCAACACACAAGAGGATATAGATAAAGAAGAAGTATACAGGATGGCGAACGTACTGGCATCTTGTGGTGGTCTCAACGTTATGTTAGATAGGTAAGTTCAATACTTACTGGAAAATATAAGTAATGTTTTATGGCAATTTTTAAAAAAGGTTATTGTTGTAATAATTAAGCTATTTTCTTTAATTTATTCATTTAAAAAGTTAAAACTTGTTAAATAATTAAAGAAGTCAAACTCTGACCAAGAGAAAAGAAGAGGAACAAGCATGTTTGTACATTATCTTAACACTTGCTGTATGTCTGTGATTTATATTTCTTTTCCGTTTAATATGCTAACAAGTGATCATGGTCTGTCTATACAAGTACTGACAATATAAGGCCAAGTTAGTGTGGACTTCCATACACCATACATTTAACTCTCCCACTTTTAGCGGGAGGCTCCCACTTTCTTAAGCCATATTTTCGAAGATTTTTTTTAAAATAAGGGGTATTTTCACAAATTAAAGAAATCTCTCTATTTTTGATGTCAGAATTTCCTTCTTTGTTTATTGCAAATTTCTCAAATCTCCCTCTTTTTGAAGAAAAATCTCCTACTTGATCATCAAAAAAAGTTCACATTTATTACTAATACACCCTGACTCTTCACTGTTGGCTGCTCAAGAATTTTAGTAATTTGATATTTAAAATCCCTTAAACTTACAATGGGTATTACCAAAATCAAATTAGAACATATCCATTTTGAAAATTAAGGAGAATCGGGGTTGGGAACAAGGTAGTATTAGATATTCAACATTCCATATTACCATTCCATCAATGCTGTTTAATTTCTTTGAATATTCCAGTCATACTTGACAGTGGAGTTTTTATTGTACGTTTGTATGCTGAAAGTATAAATTTCATTGTTAGTTTTAAGATATAAAATTTCTGATTTTCAACTTCAGGTTGGAATCCATCAAGGACCTTGTGCTTGGCAAGCCACTAATGCTTGTGTTACTGAAACTTTTCTCCTTTGCTGTCAACGTGAAAGCTAATCGTCAGGAGTTGATCAAACCAGAGTTAAACACCATCACTGTGATGCTTGGTGCGCTCAACCTAGCATTGTGGGCGGAGCAAGAGAGTGGCTCCACGGCAACAAAAGGGCAGACTATAACTGAACAGATTTTACAGATTATGGAAACCATTTTATTAGAAGCCAGTTCACAGTCAACAGATAAATATACTGTGAGATTTCCAAATATTGTCAATGTTATGATGTTGCAATATCCACAACTGTCTTTAAACAAGTTCAGTGAAACCGAGCTCCAGTCATTTTCAGTTTTGTTATTTATTATTATATAATGTGGTTGCGAGATTTGGGGATATTAAACTTTATGGGCTTACCCAATTTATCATTTAATTACTTTTTCAAGCTAGTAATTGAGGTTATTTTTTTGTGTATTTGCAAGAAATGAAGGTCAAAGGCTTATTTAATCAGGTAATCTTGATAAATTTTGAATTTTTATGATTTTAGAATTTACTTCTCATTTAAAATATTTGTGTGTTTGAAGTATAAAAGTAACTTGCTTTCAGAAACAGCTGTAAAATAACAAATTATAGGTATGTTGCATACCTTGCAGGCACCTATTCAGTTTCATATGCAGAATAAATTTAACATTACATTTGATGATGTTTTTTTCTTTTCAGGAGTTTTCGAAACTATGCGGGGACAAGGCCCAGCTGATGATGTTACTGGAACGAATAAACTCAGCGTTCGTACGATCTAACACAAGTGTCCTTCAAGCTCTGATGAGACTGATACCATTCCTGGCTTTCGGAGAGGAAGACAAAATGTTAACTTTAATCAACCATTTTAAACCTTACCTAGACTTTAACAAGTATGTATTTTTAGTGCCAATTTTCTAAGACAAATGCAATGTATATATTGTCATGACCTGGTCAGTGATAGCATTAGTTACCCTTTACGTTAAGGTCCATTTCTCAGAGCTGTTCACTTTCAAAGCTATTTACTTCAAACTTGGCATACTTGTTCTCTATCAAAACTTGACATCATTCAAATAGAGCAGATATTTTAAAATAACCTTTGTATCTAGTTAATTTAAATTTAAGTTAATTGCTATTTGCAAAGCAATTTTGCAGACTTGTTCCCCCTTTTCTACTTAAGTTTGATTATACTATCCAGCACTGAGAAAAGTGAAGCATACCTTCTCTCAAACAGATCTTATCTTCACATTCTGCCTATCTACAAATTAAAGTATAACTGCCTATAAATGTCTCTTTATTGAAAGAAAAATGTTCCTTCAGGAAAAAAATATATACTGCCTGCTGGGATAACTGGAATAGCTTGTTTATGTACGAATCATGTTATTTAGGTAAGTCACATTTCAAAGGCAGAATTTCTTGATAGAGTAGGGAGGCAGCTGTAATTTGCAGACAGTGGCCATTTTTGTTCGCAGACAATTACCTTATAACATTGTATATATACACCTCGACGGTACAAGGCTTCATTGCCTGATTTTACATTGTTGATGATATTTGTACAGGTTTGATGCTGAGCACACTCATGATGAAAAAGTACATTTGGATTGCTTCTGTAATATTGCTGCCGGTATCCAGGTAAATATAATTAATTAACCTCATATTTAAGATAGTATACCGCTGGGAACCAGTGGTCAGCTTTTGTTGGAGCAGTCTGACCTGGTCCTAAACTGTTCGCTTATATATAAACTATGTACATGTATTTTCATGTTGATATCCCTAAAATTGATAATAGGGATTTCCAAAATGGAAACTGGACAAGTCCATTCAAGAAATTCAGGAGTTTTCAGGTTATGGCATTTAGAATAAGTTTACTATGTAATTAAATGATTGAAGAAAAAAACTGTTTCATTTGAGTTTGTGTGAACCAGATTTTGTTAGAGTGACGAAATACATGTATTTCTAATTTATAATATATATGTTCGTAAAAATGAGATTTAAGTTTTTAACTATTCATATAAGCAGTGATTAAAAAATTAAAGTATGTTTCAATAAATCGCCATATTTCAGAACAATGACAATGGTGTAAAGCTAAAGGATATGATCGTAGAACAAGGACTGGTGAAAATGGCGTTAGATTACATACTAGCACATGCCCCAGAAGTCAAAACTCTTTTAGCGTAAGTAACCATAAGATCTTGAAATGAATAAATTCTTTGATTTGATTAATGGAGCAAGTTCCTAGACGGAAAGAAGAATGCTGATATTTGTATGTTAATGTTCTTTGTTTCATTTTTAAGATTTAATGCATAAAGAAAGAAACTGGTCTTTGTGACTTAAAAACTAGGCCCTAAAAAATTAAAAGTAGGACTTGATTTTTTTGTAATGTGTTTGACCATGTGGTCTTCTACCTACATGCCATCTGAGCATATAAAGGGATGCCTTTCCTATCCAGAAGTACAACTAGTCATAGAGGTGTTTTTCTCAAAGAGGAACAAAAAGATACAATTGTTGTAGTGACTTGTATCCAACAAAATAAAAGTAGAAGAGATTTGGTAGACACAAGTTCTTGATGACATGTGATATTTAACAGTTGTATGATACTATCGTATGGTTGTTGGAACCTTAGGGAGTGCACATGGCGATCAAAACAAGACCTAACATAACCAAATTATAGAGCCAAGCCAGCTTGCACATCCATTTAGTTTGCCCAGGTTCTATGACTTAGCTTAAAGTATATAGATGCTCGTCTTAAAACAACTCAAAATTTCTTTTATTATCATTTTTGTAGTACTGACTCTGATATATGGAAAGATTTTCTCACAAAGCCATCACTCAGTTATATATTGAGACTGATGACGGGAATATGTGACGGTCATGAACCTACACAGGTATGTAGTAACTTCTATAACTATTTATAGATCTTTTACTGTTATTTTAGTTGTTAAAGAGTCATATTACTGTCTTTATACATATGTGACTAATACACTTTGAGTCTGGGAGGAATATTAAAATCATATCTGCCCCCATGTGGTTTAAGGGATGTCTTAACTGGTTGAGTTTATGCCTTTACTTGTTGAGGCATCAGCATTGCAATCACCGTTTAACCCTACCTGATCATAAGAAGCGACTAAATTAGTTCAAATTGTTGGGAGTCTTTGCATCCCTTAGTTCCAGCAGATGAGGTGGTTTTGGTGTTGCTTAAAATTTTTAACACTCAAGTTTAGCCAAAGTCATCTTTCCTGTTTCAATGCCATATGACCTAAACTGTGTTCGTGCACCTTAAAATCAAACAGAAACAGAAAAATCATATCTTTTTAATCTGGAGGATACTTAACAAGGAAGTGTATGCTCATCCATCATGTTATGGTAAATAAGGATAAAATAATCCATTCATACACTCTATTACCATGTTTGTATTTGTATTAATGTAATGCCATGCCACATTGAGTAATATAGGTATCACTGACTAGCTTACAGAATATCGGTGGTTCTACACAGGTGCCTGATCGTGCCTGAAATAATGCACGGAAGGGCATCTGAGATCTTCCTCTGCCAGTAAAGCTGTAGCGTCGTCAAATGACCTATACTGTGTCAGTGTGACGTAAAACCCAATAAAACAAACAAACATGTATCACTGAGATAGAGTATTATTCTTAAGTCAAGCTCTTATTCTCAAGTAAACTCTCACCCTGCTGGTGCCAACAAATTTATTACCTATGTGACTAATACAGGCCAGGATCAGCCTGCATATCCCGTAATTCAGCCACAACATACAGAAAACAACAAAAAAATCCAAAAAAATATGGTTGCGTCCTGATTGAAAGAGGGACAAGTCTTTTTAAGATATTTTAGCATGTAAAGGGTAAACTCAATTCAAATATATATAGAAAAAAATCTTTTAAACTAATTAAACCCAAAATCTGTAGAGAAAGATATGAGCATGTTTCCATCATTATTATTATCATTAACAAACTTAAATGATTATACATAATTTATTAACACTATACTATATTTGCAGTTGGAGTTGGGCAATCACCTGATACCAATTCTACACAAGTTAGAACAGGTCTCTTCTGACAAGCATATTGGGACACTGGCGGAAAACTTCATGGAAGCTTTAAGAAAAAATCCTACAGTGGCTGCCAAAGTAAGTTTAGTTTATTATACAGAAAACTTTTTTCGCTCAAAAATAAGTCGGGAACTTGTCAGTGATACTTTTTGACCCCACCTTCTTTTTCATTTTGAATCATGTAGGATTAATGGAGCACATGTTGTATGAAGGCTTGTAATCTGTGCTGATATGTTCCATTTTTCTGTTGGCTAATTCCAAAGTGTCATTATTTTCACATCTTCCACCATCTTGGTATCAGATATTAGGCTGTATATTTTAGTTTTGATATGTGAATGATATGAATGAATTGTTACTTGAATTGTTTAACTTTTAAATTAATTTATACAATTAAGAAAATCATGCAAACTATTTTTTTGTCTTGGTTCACATTTAAATTAAAGTAGTGACCTCATAAGAATTCTATCTTTCTTAGATTGAAGAGGTACGTCAACAAACTAAAACAGAGAAGAAGAGACTTGCCATGGCAGTGAGGAAGAAACATCTAGGTGCCCTTGGTATGACTGTAAGTATACAAGTATAAATTCAAAAATTTGAAAGTAGAAATTCAAAATTAGAATCCTTCTTGTATATCATGTGAAGGGCCAACTCTCTAATGCTGTCAAAAATTGTGGTCCGACCCTTTTGCTTTTTATGAACAACTTAGAAGCCTTCTTAAATATTGTTGGAAGGGCCAATTCTCTAAAGTTATTAAAACTTGTTGACCAACCCTTTTACTTTTTATGAACTACTACAGCATCCATGTATATACTATTACTATACTGTAAATTAATATCAATAATAATGTTTTGTGTTGTATTTGCATGTGACATTGTACATGTTTTGTATAGATTGAAGAAAAAAAGCAATAAAATATTATTAAACTTGAAATTCAAAAAAAAGCCTTTAGAGAGGGGTGCCCTAGTGATTAAGGTATTAGCCTCTCGACTTTATAAAGAATTTGAATATAAATTACATTATTCCACTTACAAACAAAAAACATTACTGAAAAACAAATTTTCGTTATTCTTTGAGGTTTAACATCAAAGTGATAGGACGATCTGATATATAAAAGAAAAACATAACTTCAAATTTTTGTTCACTATTGACAGGCGGTTCCATTATTATAAAAAAATTTCAGACAAATGCCAAAGGTCAGGTTACAGTCAAGGCCTCCGTGTTGAAACAGATTGAAGATATAAAAGAAGAGACAGGACTAACTTGTTGTATATGTAGAGAAGGGTATAGATACCAGCCACAAAAGGTACCTGTCAAATGATCTCATTACATCTGTAGTTTTCTAAAAGTTGTAGTCTTTTTGGATAGTTTAACAGGTAAAATGTTTGGGCGGAAAGTTTTTGTCGTCAGAAAAATCTGGCAAAAGGAAGATCATTGAACAGCAAGGATGACAATAGTTAAAGATGAAAGTTGAAGTCCCAGTTTGTTTGAGTGTGTTCACGGGAGATAATAAAAGTTGAAAAACATCTCTTACGAACCCCTCGCACATGCCTAAGTGATATTCTGTGGTATTCAGTTTTAAATTTTTATTGGTATAAAGGCTGCAGAATAAATTGTAATTATAGCGTGTGATGATAACCTTTAAAATTGTTTATGAATTTTAAGGATGCTAACATCCGTATGGGAAACACTACTTTAGCTTGATTTAATATTTTCTCCAAATCCTTAGACTTTTAATGGTTTCACTATAACTATGTAACTGTAGGGATAGTTTAACACTAAGGTTTGTTTTGTAATTGTAAGCAATAAATGAATGTAATGACCATTTCACTTGAAGAAAAATAAAAAAATGTGTTGTTGTTTTTTTTTTCTTCAGGTCTTAGCGATTTATACATTTACCAAAAGAGCCAATCTGGATGACTTTGAGAATAAACAACGTAAAACTTTAGGTTACTCGACCGTGTCTCACTTCAACGTTATACATGTAGACTGTCACACGGCAGCCGTCAGGTAAGAAATCTGAACAAAAAACGGGCGATTCTTCGATAGCAATGAAATGAAAATTCATTTGAAAATTGCAGGCTTAATTTTGTAGAGTCTGTTCATGAGAGATAATGATAAGTACAAGATCTCCATACCCCAACCCCCCCCCCCCCCCCAAGAGCACCAGCTTATTTAGTTAATACTCAAAGTACTTTAATTAATTTACGGAACATTGGTGTTTCTACTCAGGTGCCCGTTAAATAATGCACGGAAGGGCACCTTAGGTCTTCCTCCACCAGTATAGCTGGAACATCGCCATATGACCTATACTGTGTTGGTGTGACGTAAAACCCAGTTGAACAAACAAACCTAAATTAATGTTTCCTGGGGACTAGTAAGGATATACAATGTAGCAATACTGAAATGAGGTCAAATGTGGTGTATGAACTTATTTCCTGCTGGTACATGTATGTTTGAGTGTGTTTTTTTTTGGATACTTGTGATGTGATAAAATGAGAGCAGTGTTTTAAGTGTATATATGTTGGACATTGGAATTACCAGTACAATTAACCATTCTAGGTCAAAGCAGACCAAGAACACTACAAGAAATGTAAGGACTTTTGGGTAAAAATTTATGATTAGAGAATAATTGTAATTAATTTTGACATTTTCATAATGGGTTATTAACTAGGTAGGTAATTTATAGTATTATGCTTTCTTGTTTTCAGACATGCTCGTGGTAGAGAAGAGTGGGAGAGTGCAGCTTTACAGAATGCCAACACCAAGTGTAACGGTTTGTTACCACTGTGGGGTCCCCAAGTACAGGAGTCCGCTTTCGCTACTTGTCTCGCAAGGTAAAAAAAAATGTTTTTACTTTTTATGACAATTTGAATAATTCAGTTAGTTAAATCTAAACAGATAAAAGTCTATTATTACAAGAGGCAGCATGATTTGGGGGGTAAAATAAACATTTTATGTGGAAAAAAAATTCCTGTAGATGCCTTCTGTAAGAAACTCTAAACAGTCAATGCATGATGACAGAATTTTGTTTTTAAAAATAGGTATGGCTTTACCCTCAAACTGTTGAATATCTTAATTGAAATTGTCTGCCTTCCATTTTTGGAGCTGTTTGTTGTCAATTTTAGGAATATCAATTTAAGAATTTGAAATTGGTCAGCTGAAAGTCTAGACCTTGGTTATACTGCAGAGATGTTTAGGCTGGCTGGTGGCAAACGCTAATAGATTTTGGTTGTATTAGGGTAAGGCTTAACTTTTTATGTGTGATAAAACATTTTCTTTATTTCAGGCACAATACTTATCTACAAGAATGTACAGGTGTTAGGGATCCTAGTTACCCGTTCAACATACATGACCTAAAATCATTGTTACTGAAGTTTGCCGAGGAGAAAACATTTAGTGATGATAGTGGTGGTGGCGGACGTCAGAGTAACATGCATCTAATACCCTACATCATGCATATGTCACTTTATGTCATTAACACGTAAGTAATTTATTAACATAATTGAGCTGCGTCATGACAAAACCAACATAATGGGTTTGCGACCAACATGGATCCAGACCAACCTGCGCAGTCTGATCAGGATCCATGCTGTTCGCTTACAAACCCTATAGCAAGTAGAGAAAGTGATAGCAAACAGCATGGATCTTGATCAGACTGCGCAGATGCGTAGGCTGGTCTGGATCCATGCTGGTCGCAAACGCACTATGTTGGTTTTGTCATGACGCGGCTCATATAGTAACTTTTCATGCATGTATTGCTCTTTGTTATGAACTTGTAAGATTGTTTTCAACATTTCAAATAATATTTGATAGGCTGCCTCCATGTTTCTAAATTATTAAACTGAGGGGCGGAGAAACTTGTAACTACTTGTTGGGTATTGAAGAAAGCTGTTTAGAGATTTGATCAAAAATTTGTTAAAAAGAAATCAAATAACTTCGTATAGTTTAAAAAAAACTATGGAAGGCAAGTGAATTACCTTGTATTATAATATTTTGAGCATTTATGGCATAATTTTTATATTTATTGTATGTTTAGGACAAGATCTGGCAGTAGAGAGGATAAAAATTTGAACAATTTCCTCGAGTCTGCAAGAGACAAGTGGCTTGAAAACTGTTTTGAGGTAAGCGTTACATTGATATATTGATATGATAGGGTTTATAGAAATTTCGTTTCAGAAAGACGAAAAAAAAAAAAAAAAAACAATTTAGAGCAAGTTTAGATACACTTTTGACATGATCAGGTCTTTGATGTTTAGCCAGCTAGGTATCCAGCTAGCTTAAGGAAAGTAGGTGGTTCTACTTGGCTGCCTGCTTATGTCTGAAATAATGCATGGACAGGCAAATGAGATCTTCGTCGGCCAGTAAAGTTGGAAAATTGTCATATATATATAACCATTACAGTATCAGTGCGTCTTACAAAAACAATAAAAAGAATGAACATAGTAAAATTGAGATTTTCTTCTGAATTAAGGTTATGTTGAATCTTCTTTTTTTAGAACTTACTTACATTTTGCATGTAGAATCGAATAAAATCCATATTCATAGAACAAACCTCGGAGAGAAGTTCAAATAAAAAAAGTTCTAATATTTAATGATAATCAAATACACTTTTGATATATCTATACAGACCGAGAGCCCAATGTACTGGTGTGTAGTGGCCACTCACCTTTATTCACCAGAAAAATGGAAATCCATACGTGTCAAGTTCCTGGAACGTCTTGTGGTCGTAGCCCATGTCAGGAGTACTGTCACCATTGGGAGCAAAGCGTGAGTTGTTATTGGATTTGTCACATTTCTTTTGTTGAATTGCTGAAAAAGTTTCTCATTTTTATGTGCTTTAAAGTCTGAACCCTACTGATTAAAGTTTGACTTTTCAAAGGACTGTAGGGCATTCCCACTCATCAAGGCATCAATGTTTTTTATGCAACTTTTACCTGAGGTCTTCTCCCACCAGTAAAGCTGGGACATCACCATATGACCTATACTGTGTCAGTGTGACATAAAAACCCACTAAAACAAATGTTTTTTGTGGGTTTTTTTTTTTCAGACTCACTGTCCAGGGAGCATAATTCTAACATGAACTTTTACTGAATTATTACCAATTGTAAACTTAAAAACAAACTGCAATCCAATTGAATGTGCTGACCATCCGGCAGCTCTTGTTACAATGTTGTTTTTCTTCTTCTTCTTCTTCTTTTTAAGTGGCAACCTGTCATTGTTGTTTTTTTTTCAATCCTGAAGACTAGCTTTTAACAAGAATATGATGCACTTTATTTACTAGCTTATCAGACTTGTGTAATTTTCTCACTAAAATGGCAGTTTGGAATGACACTTTATACATTGTACTGAGAGTATTGTCTTATAAACAAGTATAGTTGACTTTTCTAGTATATATTTTGTATGTAATTTGCTAACATATTAAACATCTGTTGTTTTTTTTTACAGGTTGACAGATAAAACCATGAAAGAGTATTCTGTTTACAAACCCTACCTGATCTTCTTTGGCTTGATTGATGGTTTATACCAGTATATCTTCAAGGTAAATTCATAATTTTAACCTGGTGATTATGGGTTTGAGCCTTAGGGTAGGCACCAATTCCCACACATTTTCTTGTATGGCACCTTATACTTTCCTGTGTTGGTCTAAGAAGTGGACTTTTACTATATATACTCACTTATAAGACATATTTTGTACCTTCAATATAGAAGGTTATACTATACATCCGGTCATCTTATTAGTGGTCATTAAGGTTTATAAGTAGTCGTAGTGGGTCATTAAATAAAATTTCATAAGTATGAAAAAAGGACCCAGTCTTAGGTGAGGCAAATGTAGTAGTCGGAAGCATATGCCTTCTTTACAGTCTTGACATATAAGTAAACAATAATAATGAAACACTTTAAATATGCGGATCAAAATGAAACTGCTACCTTTATGCATCTTAGTTTTTAAAGTGAACATAGAAGTAATTTTTCCATTATTTCTGATTCTGAAAGCATGTGGGATAAAAAGTCGGTCACTTGCAGAGGTTTTGGTTATTTCTGGTTAGCTACCCGGGAAAGACGGTTAGTTAGACTGACCAAAATTGAAATTGGTGTAAAATCTGACATATAGACAAATAAATATAATTTAGTGAAAAATATCTTGTCTCTCGTCATTTCAGAAGGTGACAATTAAAGATGATGACTGGACAAGAAGTTTAGCAGATTACATTCGTAACAATGACAAGGTCATGATCGAGTCATGTGATAAACTCCTGGCAGCATACCAGGATGAGATGTTACCTTGCGAGTCTATTGCCGAGTTTGCAGACGTCATGGGTGAGTTGTTTTTTTTCCATTAGATATTTAAAAAAACATTAAACAGAATAGAATGTATAAGGTTTAAAAGACTGTTGGGTGAAGGGTGCAGATTCGGAAAACTTATTTTCAGAAATCTTAGTACATTTTTCTCAAGTTTGATTTTATTAAAATACTTCAGATGAACTGGAGGCATGCTGCATTTAGGGCTATTTGATTTATATGTTTACATATTGAAACCATTTCTTCAGGTTTTTGATTTTAAGAATAATTTAATAGATTTTTTTATTTCATTTTCAGAACTTCTTGAAGATATTCCTGATCAAGATAAATTTGTGACCGAGCTTCTACAGTCCTTACCATAAAATGTTCACCGGATAGTGCTTAACAAAAGTTTCGCACCACACTTTGGACATCAGTGTTTCTTTTGAGCTTTGAACTTTATTTTTCAAGTGGAATACAAAATGTATTTAACAGTTAACTAGTGACATTTTATGTTTTTGTGACTTTTAGAGTTAAATTAGGATATTTTTCCTATTTCCTTTTACTTAACCATATTTGAATTTCAGTGTTTCAATAACAATTTGAACATTATAGTGTTATTATGATATCTTTGAAAATTTACTAACTTGGTTGAACTGTGCATTAATTGTTTTACAAGCTTTACTCATACGTTTTAAGTCTTATTGGATTTTCATGGCTTCAATATATGTAGTTTTATCAATCAATTTTTTGGTGATATTGAAATCTCTGTAATAGCCAATGAAATTTAGAAATTTTAAAATCATATTTAAGGAAAAAATGTAGGCTAAAATTCTTATATTTTTGTTGTTACCATTTAATGGATATTTACATATTTTTTTCTGGCTACTTTTTTAAATAATTCTTGGTTTAACAGTATGGTATATGTTGAAACTCTGACACTTACATTTCCATGTATTTGGGAATTAGTCACCAGGATTTTGCTTGCATCTGTGAAATGGTTATTAAACAAACTTTTATTGTCACAATTCAGATCCCTTGCTTTTTAGTAGCTGAATATAGGTAAAAAAAACTTTTATTTATTAAAGCAGCATACCTCCAAATTCTAGTGCTAAATTTTATGAAAATTTGGAAAGTGATCTAAATAAGTAACATACAAACAATGATATAAACAGGTTGAATGTCCCTTTCCATCTGCTAAAATGGCTATGATATGTCAAAATGGCATTACCAAGTGGATAACAATTCTGACTACTGGTAATTTAAGAACTGCTGGCCGAGTGGGTTCAAACCTGTTGACAGCCGTGCTTTCACAGAGACAAGTTTTTTATTCCAGAGCAAGAAATTTTGCACTTATTGCTTAGTACTGGTTGGTTTAAGGGATAGGTTTGAGTGTTTGTATCTATAAGCATATAGCTTTGTGCCAATTAACCTAAAATAAATTCTGTATAACTTGATATTATTAATTTGCTTGAATATCATTACATGCACATTTATTACATGAACTTAGTTAGTAACAACAAACAAACTTTGGGATAAAAACTAAAATACATGTACTAGGGTCTGTCACACTTTGCACAAAACCTGCTAAGTGTATTTGAACTTTTAACGTATATACATATATGTATAAAGGAAAGACAATGGAGAAATGAGAAAATAATATCGAAGTATACATGAAGTCATGTACTATAAATTGTAAGTTTGCAAATTTTTCACGTTAAAAGAATGATATATTTAAATGCCTTATAACAAAATGTAAATCACCATTTTCTGCAAAGCATTAGGCACAGAAATGTTTGTTTATTGGCCACATTGAAATTTACTTTTGTCTGATGTTAGAAATGTTGTTATTTTATCAGGAGGTATGCTGCTTTAGAATTTCTTAAAGACATGATTTTTGTAGCCATTAATTTGTGACTTAGATTTCATTAATGTTGTAGCAGTTCTGTAATTGAAAGTTATCATACCCAGGGGCGGATACAGAACATGGTTTCCTGGGGGGGCTGACATATGGGTGGAAGAATTAGACAAAACAATGCAACAGGCGAAAATTTAAGATTAGGCCAGCATCTTGTTCATTTGACAAAAATTGTAATTGATGTGTTTATAGCTCATCTTATGATTGGCAATGTACTTTGCTTGTATATGAGTATACTAATGTTTTTTCACATATAATGGTGTTACGGAATTCAGAAAAATATACATGTAATTGGGGTGGGCATGGGAGGGGTGTCCCTCCCATAGACCGAGAAAATTTTGAAATATGAGGTTGAAAATGGTGTTATTTCCTTGACTTTCTAATGCTGTTTATGGTACCTTTTGGATGGTTTTACAAAACACTGTATTTTGTATAGGTTAGTGTTTACAGGCCAGGGTCTTTCAAAAAGTATTCTCCCTGGTGTTTAGTAGTGAGTATTCACAAAATAACAGCACACTAACCAATGTATGCACAGCTGTTGATAAAAATAAATTCAAACACTTGATCAATTTACTCATCTGAATAATAGACGATTTTCCAAAGTAAAGTGGTATTAAAATACTGCCTTCCTAATGTACAAACTAAAATAATTTGAAACACTAGTATTCAATTAGATTTTTTTTCCATCAATGAATCCATTTTAGATACTAAAGAGGTCAGTACAATTTAAATTTTATTTAAAAATATAACTGCCATAAAAAGTTATTAAAAGCATATAACCAATTATTTCATCTTAATAAAAATCTAAGTAAAACAAATTATTTAAATTTTAAATGTGATTCCTTTAATATTATCTTTATAAAACTTGTGTCCCGCCGAGATTTTTTCGTCGATTTTTTTCCAGCTTTTATTGGTGGAGGAAGACCCCAGGTGCCCCTCCGGGCATTATTTCAGGCACGAGCGGGCACCTGGGTAGAACCACCGACCTTCCGTAAGCCAGCTGGATGGCTTCCTCACATGAAAGATTTCGACCGAGTGAGGATCGAACCTACAGTGGTGAGGGACCAGTGATTTCAAGTCAGCGACCTTAACCACCCGGCCACGGAGGCCCCTCTCTATTTGCCACTATCTGTGACTATTAATTTTATTAGACCTTTGGAAAGTAGTTAACCAATCAATTATGCAGTTTAAACATTGAAGTCATTGAAGCATGTTGATAGATAAAGATCTCTGCCAAGCCCCCAGACAGGAGATTAACAACTGGATGACAGTAATTACTGTTTTGATAAGGGAGTACTCTACATCCAATAAAGTTTGAAACTGCCAAAAATATATTCCAGCCCAGCTGGTAAACATATCTTTGGGCTGAGCTGGGGGGGGGGCTGCAGCCCTGAAGCCTGGGCCTGAATCCGCCACTGATACCCCATAATATACTCTTGTAAATCAATGTCTGCAAAAACAAAATGTATTACAGCTTTGAAGGAAAAAAAGTGTTTTTTTTTTCAATATAAACTATGAGCTAAAAGAAATGAAATTTATAAATTTCTAATGGAAAGGTTTGTGTGATTTTTTTTCTTTTAAAAATAAATTAATATCTTCCCGCTTACAATGTGTTGTTATATATTATATGAAAATGACCTGTAAATGAACATTAAGAAAATGTTTGGCTAGTCCTAAAGGGAAATAATTTGTTTAATAAGACAGGGTTAGATTACTTCCCTTCTTGTGCTGGTTTTCAAGCGGCAATAACTTTGGTATTTATTTCATACATGTATTTGATACGATAGTGTTACTTCCCGTCTTACATAATCTTGTCGAGTTTTCGTAAAGGGCAATAACCTTGGAGTCTTTTTTAAATAAGGAAGGATTGGTTACTTCCCTTAAATTTTGTTATGTTTGCATCTCTGAAAAAAAGCTATGTATACACATTGTTTAATCCCAGAGCTATATTTAAATATAAGTCTGGTTTAATCTATGCCTAAGAATTTGAAGATCGTTTCTGGAGTGGAATTAATCAGTTCGGACATACTTGACACAGGGTTGGACATTTTACTGAAGTTTCGAACTCTAAATTGTAATAATGATAGGACATTTATCATATGAACTATGCTGTATGCAGGCCCGTCGTCACGATTTTGTGATTGGTGCGGCCAATTTGGTTGGTTTGAGCCAGAATCTTATTTCTAGGGGGGTACGGGGGCATGCTCCCCCGGAAAATTTTTTATTCTAGGATGCTCTCAGGGGCGTTTTCCCGTATATTTGGCACAGTTTACAGCCTGCCGCTAGTACATGTTATAGTAATATATGTCAACGATTTTTTACATTTTTAAGTGCGCCGTAAGTTTTAAGGGTGAAATTTAAGGTTCGCATAACTGACGGACAGGTGTACATAAAAGATGAATACATGTAATTGATATTTGGCAAATAAAAAATAAACAATAACTGATGTTATAATTCTTTAGATGCATTTTTATCTGATAATTATAAATAAACAAATACAAGAGATATTACAGTACGTGGGTTATTGTTTAACATAAATCACACAATGGTATAAGCTTAAATAACAATCAATGACATGATGGAATAATAGTACATTACAAGTCACTAATAACCACTTTTTGTTTAGCAGTAACTCTTTTTGCACAACACAGAGTCTCATTTTATGTAAATTTTCCAAAAACACATCGCCGTCGTTCTCTGGTGGTAATGAACTCATCGGCAAAAACACGTTAGTTAAATGAATCTGGCCTGTACTTATGAATATGTAACACCATTAAGATTGTTCAAACGTACTTGAGACATTGTCGATCTCAGGTATGTCTTTCTTCTTCTGAGCGCCAAGAATGTCCTTTCACTTGTAGCATTAGTAGCAGGCATTTCTAACAAAATCTTAAACAACACAACGACCTCAAAGAACAGTGCTCGTTCTAGCACACAAATTTCAAAACGTCAGGTAGAGTAACATTACTATTTTCTGATTTGTCAAAATGTGAACGTAGCAGCTAAAGCTGCACCTCTAAGATATTTCGGTTAATGTCGTTACCATAGGCATTTCAAACAAAACCAAGTTCTCTAGTGTACTCGGTCGTCAAAGGTTGTGTGACCTTAATACGTAAATCCTCCACGTTCTGAAGTACGGGATATCCCGGTTGGTCAAATCTCTATTTAACACTGGCCATGGCAAGATCGATTGCTTCAAAGTACTTATAGGCCAGAACATGGTTGCCGTATACAATCAATAAATTGTAATCAAGTTCTGGGAGAATTCAGGCATACTAGTTTAAGATATTCATAATGCATATTGCAAATCTCATGCACTGTTTTTTTGTTTGTTTTGTTGTTTTCTGTTTTTTGTGAAAAAATGTACTCTTGGAAACGAAAATGATTTTCGTTGATTTGGTTCCGATGGAATTGTGTCACACATCATGATATCATTATATTAAACTATTCATATTGTGAACAGAAGTAAAATTTAAAGAATTGTGATGTTATATTTTCAATAAACATATATATATACGGTGAACTGTTGGAAGCCACGTCGATGTCAATTTATGCCAATTAAGATAACTTCACACTTGACTTCGCAGGACCCCTAGCTACATACCTGGTCAATTAACAGTGTCCAGTTCTTTCATCGCGTCATGATTGTATATTACCGCGCATTGCATAAGGGGCAAGTTAAGCGTTAAATTGCTAATCAGCGATGCGTTTTTTTTTTAAACTCATTTTTGGCCAAAATATTGGTCCGGCCAAGGCCGGACCGGCAGGAACATCGACGACGGCCTTGGTATGATGTATGTACTCCGCTAAATTCAGCTCAAAAAACACGAGAAAGTCTCAATATTGCATTTTGTCATTGCTGTATTGTTCGGATTATCATAAAAACCTATCCATACCCTGTATATGTACATGTTCCTGATTTCATGAGGTGTATCCCCACATTTCATTCATAATTTTATTGTATACTTACTGGTGCATCTGGATATTTTTTGAGCTAAATGATTTTTTGGGAGACGCTCAAAATCCCCTTGATCATAATCCCCTTGGTTGATAAACGACATAGTGATCGAAATCCCCTCAACAGAAATGACAGGGTTATCATAATCCCCTTGGCAAAAATAAAGGGGTGGTCATAATCCCCTCAGTGGGTAGTCAAAATCCCCTCAAATAATGTGAAATGGTTGGGAAATTTCTTTTCTTA